ATAAGAAAACCCAGTATCTGTCCCTCCAGCTTGATCACAAATTGCGTAACGGGCCTGACAATTTTTGAATTTGTCAGGCCCGAAGGGGGGACTGTGAAAGTTACTAGTGACCCCCCCTTAACAGAGCAGCCTTTATGTCAACCAAGGCCATTAGAAAAAAGCAAACACTTCAAGTACACAGTAGCCTGAACTTTTCAACTGTCTTCCCTTCAAGGTCTTACGGTAGTTGGAGCTGGTCCCAAGCCAGTTTTCACTGACCAGATAGCAAAAGCACGGGTCTGACAACCACCAATCAAGTGTTAACACTGCAAAAACATTTGTCTGAATGTGTATAAAGAATCTGTAAAATGTGTGTAAGACAAAGTTTTTGTACTAAGGTGCAAAGCTCTCCTTTCTTCTGCAGAATAAAGCAACTCCTCCTTATCCCTGTCTGGCTGTTATTGGCTCTCAGCTAGGTGGACCCGATATTTCGGTAACATGGGGATGGCTCACCTGGTGCTGAGATGCAGCCACTTCTGGGGTGGGCCCAGCAGTAAGGTGCGGACACATCTAGGGTGGAGGAAGGACGTAGGACCTAACACAACATTTGGCAGAAAGGGAATTGGGAGCAAAGGCTGAGTCGTGGGAGCTGTAGCATGGGATTGTGTCCTCCCCACACTGCATCAACCTCAGCCGGTTCCACTGATCTGCCACAGGAGCAAAGTGAATCTGGCAGGATTTGAACCCGCGGCTTTGGAGCCATCAGACCTGATGCTCAGACGCAAAGCCCCCCCAGCACCCCTGCCTCCTCTATAGGCTGTCAAACCCAGCTGGGTTATATCTCCCATGATGCACCACTATCTCCCCTCGAGGTGATGGGAAGGTTGCCTCATAGGAATCCATAGCCAGGGTGCATCATGGGAGATATAGTCCCGCTAGAGATTCTGGCCCACAGAAGAGAACGGGAGCACGAGGCACCCAAACTCCAACTCCCATCAGGCCATTTTCAATTGAAATATTTCAGTTTTTGACATTTCTATGAAAAGTGGAGCTTTCCCACTGGGGAAAAAAAATCATTTTCTGGACAGGTCTAGTAGAAACTTTTTTTTCTAAATGAAAACCAGAATCTCACAAAATCCCATCATTCCAGGTGCGTCAGGAGTCCTTCGGTGTGGTGCATCATGGGACTTGCAGTTCCTGTGCCTCACATTTTCAGTCTCCTCTGTCAGCCGGGCTGTCTGGCTGAACTAAATCTCCGAGGATGCACCACCTGCTCCCTCTTGGTGCAGAGACGGGCACTTCATTGGTATGGCTGGCTTTGGTGCATCATGGGAGATGTAGTCCAGCCCCTGCCTGTTTGATTAAAGGGCTGGAAGAATCACAGCCAGGCTCCGCGAGACCTCTGGCAAAGGCAGTGATGGGCACAGGGACGGATGATCCATAGAATCTAAGGGCAGAAGGACCAGCTGGGTGACACAGGCCCCAGGACTCCCCTGAATTCATTCCCGTTTGAACGAGAGCAGATCCTTTAGCAAAACATCCCAGCGTGATTTAAACATCCCCCAGGACGGAGAATCCATCACGTCCCGAGATTGTTGTTTCAATGGCAAATTCTCCTCCCTGCTCAACATTTGCACCTTATTGCCAGTCTGAATTTGTCTAGCTTCAGCTTCCAGCCCCTGGATCTCGGTCTGCTCGGCCGCCGGGCCCATTATCAACGTTCTCTTCGCGTAGGATCTTCCAGACGGGCTCACGTCCCCCCTTCCCCTTCCCTTGGTTCAGCTAAACAGACGGAGTCCTGGAGTCTCTCACTCTAGGGCAGGTTTTCCAGCCCCTGACTCCTTCTCCTGGCTCTTCTCTGACCCCTCCCCAGCTGATCAGCACCTCCTGGGAGTGCGGGCCCCAGAACTGGGCACAGGACCCCGGCCGTATTTGCACCAGGGCCAGATCCAGGCGGAAAATCCCCTCTCTGCTCGATTCCAGATTGCCCTGTTCATGCACCCTGGGATCGCGCTAGCCCTGCTGGCCACCGCGGCGCTGGGAGCTCCTGGTGAGCTCGTGATCACCGCGATCGCCACGACGACCCTCCCGCGCTGGGCCTACGGCACAAAGGCACAACCCCAGCCCCTCACCACCCCGGAGGTCTCTTTTCACACGTCCCCGGAACTTACACCGGACAGTGATGGTGATGGGGGGGGGGGACGGGGACTGGCCGATCCCATTCTCGGCCTGGCAGCAATACTCCCCAGCCTGCTCCGCCGCGATGCTCTT